CCCCTTAGGATTTCTTAACAATCTTTATATTTGAATTATACTTTTGTTTTGAAACCCCTGTTCATGTTTACTTGCCCATAGAAAATTATTAATATATCTATTTATATCTTTATTCTATTTTTCTTGCACCTATATATCTTTATTAGCGACGTTATACCATAGGTACCATTTGTCCCATATTCTATAGTACTCTGTCTCTTCTTTTTCCTTAATCTCTTTTGTTAGTCTAACCATTTCAGCATACTGTGCGATTTTACCTGTTAACTCTTCTTCCGTTGGGATTTTTTCTTGTTTCCAGTTCTTTGCGTATGTTATTCGAGCTGCCATTAGAATATGTATTATCAGGTATTTTATATCTTTAGGATATGTTTTTGTGAAGATTCCTAGCAGGAAAGTTTCTGGTTTCATCTCTATTTGTAATTTTGTTATTTGTTCCAACCATTTCTTGATGTTAGACCAAAATTTCTTTGCTGCCGGGCACGTCCACCATAGATGGTAAAAGGTACCCTGCGATTTTTTGCATTTCCAGCATAATGAACTATTCTTTGAATGAATTTTTGCCAATCTTGTGGGCAACATATGCCACCTATAAAACATCTTCAGCTGGTTCTCCTTGTATGCCACCGCTAGTGTTAATTTTGTATTCATTTGCTATAATTCCTCCCACTTCTCCAAATCTATTGTATATTTAAAATTTTGCATCCATTTAATCATTGTATCCTTTACTGTTTCCTCCTCCATCTTATATCGCAATAGAAAATTATAGATTTTACTAATTAATTTCTCTTGTGAGTCTAATATAATTTTATCTAGTTCTTGTTTCTCTCTGTGGATTTCATATGTTTTTATGTGTTCCTTGTATTTGGATTGGATCTGTGTGAAAATCCACCAATCGATTTCTCTATTTAACTCTGGAGCTAGACCTGATTTTTCTTCCAACATGACACTAATAAACAAACTTATGACAAATTCTGTGATTCAAATGACCATTCTGTGTGCCTTCTTACTGGTGCTACAAGTATTTTAATTGACATTCCAAATCGTTTCCTTTAAAGGCTCTCCAGTCCACCCACATCTTTATCCATGCCCACTCCCCCCACTTCAGCTCCTCACAGGGAACACAATCATCGCAACACCCAATAGGAAATCTTGTCATGAACTGAGGGAGCTGGTGGGGAGGGGAAAAGCAAATTTTCCATTGCTTCTTTGATGGGGGCATTAATGGCAAGTCGCTTTTGGCACACTCTTCTGCACATGTACAAAAGTGTCACGGGAAGGTGATAATGGTTTCCAATTGAGAGAAGGGACCTTCTTCTCATTCCCTCCCTCCCTGCTCCTCCTCCTCAAGCCTGAAAGATTGCATCTTGCTGGCATCTGAGGCAAAAGGAAGGGGTTGCTTTCACAAAGCGTATCCGGTAAAGGAGTTGTAATCTGCATTTCCCCCAGCGAGGCGGTAGGGAAGCTACACGCACTGGAGGGACATGTTCTTCCTTGAATAGAGATCTGCCTCCTCCCTCCTTCGAACAATGTTGTAAAATATCGGTATGCACCTGCTGAAGCTTGAACCTGGGGGAGGTGGGCGGGTTGGGGATTTGTCCCTGCTTCTTTCCAAATATATTTCATCTGCGGGAACCAAGTGGGAAGAAGGTTCCCAGGTATATCCGTGAACCATTTTAGTGCCCTTTGTGCCTTCTTTTTCCTTTAGATGTTTTGTTAGGTCAGTTGGGAAGAAAAATGGAGCGATACTGTGTGCTTTGGAAGGCAGAGAGGTCATTATAATACCTGGATTCTTGAGGTGTGGAAGGATTTTCCAGGTGCCTTTATGAACAGTACTGTGGTTACTGTACTGCAGTGTGTAATTGGGGTCCTTTTTTCATCCATGGGCTGCTGTGGCAACTGGAAGAGTTTTCCCTCCATCTAATTTCTTGGGACCAGAAATTAGTCTCCATTGCAGCCTTAATGCATTCTTTGAATGTTTTGTATAAAACACTGTGCAAACCAATATTTTCATTTTCTGATCGTTAAAACAACAGATATTTTTTACTTGTATGAACTTTTTGTGATTTAGAGATGATCCCTAATTTGTTTTATTTCACTAGTCCTACCTGCCTTTTAGTACAGTACTCCTGCACTTAGTCCTTTTTCTTTTTTTAAAATATAGAATTGCAATCAATTTGATTATTAAAAAGGATATTAGGCATCTTTTCATAGAATGCATAGGATTTTGCACACATAAAAGATGTGTGAGAAGCTCCAAGCAGTATAAATCACTCATTCACTCCAAGGTAGAGTGTGTGTGGGGTGGGTGTGGGTGGGTAAGATATTGTTCTAGACTGAGCTCAGCCATCTGGAACGTAGTCCCTCCTGGCTACTACAAGTACTGAAAGAGGCAGAGATTGCATAGATCCAGGAGGTGATCACTTGATCCTTGGTGAGGTTAATACTGCCAACCTTACATGAGGCAGGGCATGCTCCCTCCTTAAAAAGCTACCCCTGGATCCAGTCTAGAGAATTATAATCCAGTCTCTAATTTACAAAAACTATAGGACTTGAACTACAGAGGGTTCTGGATAGTTTAAGGCATGAGCTTGGGATGGAGATCACCAAAGATGTTTTTTCCCAAAAGGCAATTGGACCTGGATGATTGAGAATATACACAGATATGGGATGGAGACCCCACTGGTTACAGTATTGGATGACTTGTGAATCTCGACCTGCTAAATCTTTCAGTGCTCGTTTGCTACCCTCTACCACAATATAGGCTGTCAGTGAGGGTGTGGGATTGTGGGCACTGTTTTGCAGTGTTTCCATTTCTTCCTGAACTGGCAGTTATGACATTTGCCAATTCAATGTGCAATACCTCAGAGTTTGTCCTCCTTTCCTACTTTATTTAGCATCTACATGGAAACATTGGGAGAGGTCCTTGGCCAATACTTTTGGGATTAGGTATCAACAATATAATTCCTAGTTTACCATCTCAAGAAGAACATATCTGGAAATCCTGATCTGGTGCCTGGAATTGGTAAGAGATTTGATGAGTTAACAAAGGGCAATTAAAATCTCAGAAAAATTGTGTTGGTTCAGAAACATTCTGGTACCATGGATATTGCATCTGTAACACTTGATGAAATAGTGTTTTCCCGAAGAAGTTAGTGCACAATCATGATATTTTCCTAGATTCGGTAAAAGCCCCCTCTCTCTGTAACAGTTTGCCCCCATGCTGAGATCAGATGTTTGTCTTGGTATTTTGCAAAATGAGGATAATCATCCTTCTGAGATCATTCAGATGTGCCTGATAGTAGCAGCAGTTTTTTTATTAATTTTGCATTAAATATTTTTTAACTGTAATTATTGGTTTTAGGACCAGTTTAATAGTTTATTGTATTTCCTGCAAGCTTCCCAGAATTGTGAGAATGAATAGCAAACAATGGATGTATTAGAGAAACATAATATTTAAGAACATGACCCTTTTAGTATTTAATTTTTACTAATTCTTCGGCACCCAGAACAAATGGGACAGAGTTAAAAACAGCCTGTCACATCATGTCCAAGTGCCCCAAACACTGCATTCTTTAGCCATGGAGGTCCACGGAGGACTGGGGCAGTCAGAGCCCAAAATTTCAATGGTAAGTACAAACTGTTGCTAACTAAATATGCATTTTGGAAAATGGGCTGGAATACCAATTTCTTAGCTAGTCACATTGATAAACAGTAAAAAAAGACCTGATTCAGCATATTCCAGCCTTTCAAGATTCACACTTGCTGGAGGATTAGTTACATTATTATCACCAGTAATACAACCTTGGATGAAATGTCATGAATCACAGAGACATTTAGTCAACTTTATTTTATTTATCTAATTTATTGACTGCCCATTTTATCACAGGGTAACTGGGTGGCTTTTCACAATGTATTGCTAGAATACTTATATCAGAAACACTTCTACCCCATTCACCCTCACAATGGTAAGTTGACTAATAGCTATACTATTTTATGCAGATGCTGCTGTGAGGCTGCAGATATTAACAAGGCTTAGAAGAGTTGTGAGATTATTGACCCGTTTTTGTAAGGAACACTGATTTCAAAAAAACGAGTTAATTATGTGGTTTCTGAGATTTTTTTTTAAGTGACAGCTATTGGCACCTTAAATAGAGTAGATTCTCTATCTGCACCTTGTACCACAGGATTCCTGGAGACTAGAATAGGCTACTGTAATTCTCAAAGGATTCTCAATACAGAATTACAAATGCAATATAGTAAACTCTTACCCAGAACATAGCAGGGACATTTATCCTTTTTTTCAAATTCGAAACTAGCATTGTATCTTGACCAAACTACAAATTAAAAATTTTGTAGAACTTTCACACAATTGGAACTAAGTATCTTGCTATCAACAATGCTGGAGAGTAAATTCCAAAAAACCTTGATGTAGCATGGGATTGTGAAGACAGGCTCATGTTTTGCTTTATTTTAATTTACACCAATAAATTTTTGATGAGGTACTCTTTTTAACCCATTGCCTGGATAGACAGAATAATCTAATGTTCAGCTTCTTTTGCTGGATAAGGGTCCTAAAACAACTCTTGCCATTGCTAAATTTGTAACTGTAGGATTTATGTATTGCCCAATGCAAATTAGACTAGGCACAATTACAGGCCTTTTTATTTTGCGTCATATATTTGTTCTATATTGTCTGGTCTGGGGCCCATAGTAAAGTTGCCTAACTTGACATTCATGTGATAGTTGCCATTGTTTATCTGTCATTGCTTAATTTTTTTGTCCATATCTGGGCTGTGTGTCCAGAATCTTTTGCCCGAAGAATAGAATGTTAACTTATAGAACACATTTCTTTTTCTATGTCTAAATATGACATTTTTAGAAGAGTGGCATTATAAAAGTCTACACTCTCTTTTTTCAGTGTGCTTGCACCCACATATTTTTTCAGATTTTTAAAACTCAAACCCTGTTCACTAGAAACATGCCATACCAGTAACAGCACATCAGAAGAAAGATTTTATTTTTCTCAAAGAAAAAAGCAATATAAATATTAGAGTATAAAACTTGCGTGTTAACACATCAATATCAGTTACATGGATATAAGAAGAATATAAGCATATATATAATATATAAGTATAGCTCAATATTAGACACATTGGAGGGACAAGTAAGTGTGTTTCAATTCACATACAGTTAAAAGCACAATGAACACACATGAAGAAGATCCAAAAGAATATAAAATACTGATGTCCACTACTCAATTACTAAGATTAAACAAATAAAAAACACACATCACTACACACTGCTACACTATTTTCAGGTGTAGATGAAAAAATAAACAAGATTAACTAAGATTCATCTACAGTACTTTGGGAAAGGTCACATGTTAACTACTTGATTACATAAGAAGCTTTAGGCACAACACAGCAGAGGTGTACCTGCACAAACTGCATTGAGATAAATGGGAGCTGTGTGACAAGAAAACTATTGTGCTCTCATTCATTTAAATGTGGCTCATGCTACAGAACATCCCACTAGTTTGTTGTCTATTTCGCTAACTATGTAAACTGTTTCTAATGCAGTCACCAAAGAAAAAGTTGATGGAGAAGGGTTTGGGATCACTATAAAATCCATATGTAGATAAAAACGTCTTGTAGACAAGTCCTACTTTCTAGACACAGGGAAAGCATCAAATAGTTCATAAAATGCTCTTAGCAGTGACAACAACATAGCCAATCAGTTTGGGAGGCAACTTCGGAAACTTGTCATAGACTGACCTGTTCTGACTATTTCAAGCAAGCTATTTATTACAATGTAAAAAAAGTTCTTGGACTAAGTGGTTCGCCCTCCATGTTGGAAATATGCTCCTCTGATTCTTTATGGCTCTTTTGTTGCAATAAAGAAAACCATGAGATAGTACAGGAAACCTACAATATATCTAGAAAGACAACCAATGTTGCCAAGTAACATTACAATTTCGCACCTGATTCAGAGTGCCATTACATTATCAAATGGGCCAGAGTTAGGAAATCCTACTTCTTTTCCATACTAGGCTATGAAATGATGCAGTTAAGAGAGTAAATCTAGCAATTTCAAAACAGTAACACAAATTGTATTTTTAATATTTTAAGGTCTATTCATATCCAAGAAGAGTTAGTGGTAGGAGTCTCAAATTGCCTGATTGCATCAATACAATGTCATTTGTTTAATATTTATAAAAGTTCAGGAATAAAGTGATTGGCTTTGCAATTTGTTCAGTTCTAATTCCAGTATACCTTAATTGGACCTGGTCCCTTAGCTGTCCCAAATCAGTCACTTTCTATTTAATATCAAATTGTGAAGACCAAAAAACCAACATTATTTTTTGGCTATACTGCACAGAGAAATGAAATACACAAGCTTCCCAATCTCTCTGAGGAAGGGCAATGCATCTTGTTTGTGAACTTTACTCATAGACAGTGCTGATGTGGGCACTTGAGAGCATATTAACATGCTGTTCATGTCATGCAATAAATTTCCCAATTCAAACTTGGGTGTGAAGTCAGCTGTCCTGTAAATGTGAAGTGATTTGCATGCAGTTTAATGTGCAGAAAAATGTGAAGCATTCTATTTTTAATGTTCTACCTATAAGATCAGCAGAGCTCATCCAGTTAACAAAGACATCTCCCTCAGGAGTCAAGCAAAGGAGCAGTAGTTCACTATGCTCACAAGTGAATGACTTTTTTCTTCAACTTTTTCTAGAAAACATTTAGTACATATATACTATGATGAGATGTGTTGCCTCTTTAGAGATCACTGTAAATCAGTCATGAGTGGCAGTGTTCTCTGTTTTGCTTATATCTAAGACATGTTCTGTGCGTGAAAATTTTCCCATTGCAATGCACTCCTTGCTTCTTAGAAATTACAATATCAGTTTAATTTTTTTCTGGCCATCATTGGTTAAACTTGTAAAAAAGATAAATGTAGCTGAATCTCATTCTCTTATAATAATACAGGATACACATTTCTTTTAAAACAAAGCAGGAATTAAAGCACTCCCTATCAATATCATAACAAGGATTCCAGCTGAAATGATGTCTAACCCTCCCCCCCAAGAACTTCTATCAAAATTTGGAAAAGTGAGAATTTTTGTAAAAATGGAGGAACTTATATAAATAAAAAACTCTGTTCAGAATAATTATTTACAATGAGCAGAGCCCATCCTAAATTTTGTTGGTGATGCAGATCTTCAGGAAAGAAAATGTTTCAAAGATCTGACACCCTTGCATATTACACTATCCTCAAAAGAGTATACACTGTATTTGTTATTATTCAGATATTTTTCTTCATGAATAACAGCAGTACATCTACTCATAAACTTAGATGACAACAACAATGTACATTCACAATGTTCCATATTTTAAAAAAATTTTAACCACAAATTCACATTCATCTTCCATCCTAGGCTATGAACTGGGGGAGTGCTGGAAGAGTCTGCCCTTTAGATTTACGTGGAAGTGGTTGTGTTATCCTGTGGGTCCTACTTCTTCTCTTTCTTTCCTGACTTCTTCTTATTTCCCCCTCCAGAGGCTGCTGGTTTTCCATCACGTTTGCCAGCGGAATTGGAGAGGGTAGCAGTGCTCCCAGGGATATACACGTTCTGTCTATAATCAGGAACATGTTGAAGGGTGAATTGGGGGCCATACCTGGTGCTGAGCCCCATGGTACCTGCTGTTGCTCCTCCTCCCAGAGTAGAATTTCCATCTGGATTAGCTGCAGCGGCAGCAGCAGCTTCTGCAAGAGTATTAGGATAGGAAGAGAGGAAAAAATAGGTTTTAAAGTAATACTTGAATAATGTCATGTATATGCAGATTTGACTGAAAAGAAAATTTTCTCTTCCCTGCAATTCAAGAGGAATATGTTTTAGAAAAGGTTAGATTATACAAGCATATCTAAATAAATTTCTAATATCTGCTTGAAACATGAAGAACAATTGCCTGAATTCCCTGAAAAAAATCCTATATTATTAGTTCCTCTGATGAGAGAAGTATATTGCCTCTCCAATAATTATGTATTCCAGTCTCTGGAGCTTCCAAAATATATATAGGGTTGACATAATCTGCACATATAGATTTACTGTTTAAAAAGATTAAAACAAAATCAACAAACTTAAAACAACAATAATAACAACACCCAGATTTACCATGTTTTAAAACCTTGCAATAATTTTGAACATCTTGAAAGACCTCTTCCTTCACCCTTTATTCAAAACAAAAATTTAATTCAAGCATTGAATTAAATGCAGATTTTTTTCCTTCAGTATTGTATAATAATTATTTTGGCTATCAACATTCACAAAATATCACAATGCTCCATATCTTAATAAGTTTGAAATACTGTGGAATTCAGCTTGGCACAATTTATAAATCCTTAATCCACAACAATAGGTCTGAAGTTCTGCTATTAATGCTAGACTTTCAAGCCCAAGTGAAGTAATAGGACAGACCATATGAAATAATGTTTTGGCTGCTGAAGTACGTCTATAATATGTACCTAAATTCTCTCTGAGAAATCTGTTATACTTATGGTTGGTTGCACAGTCAGATAGAAAACATCAGACTGCATTTGGCTATCAAATTCTTCTCAAGGAGCTGGGATAGGTTGATATTGTTTGATGGTTGTTAAAGATATCACTGCAGAATGCAAACTGTTCCAAGTAAAGCTGCTTTATGCAATAGACTGATAGTGATTTTGTCAATGCTGATGGTGTTGAAGTGATGTTCCAGAAATTTTTGTAATTGCACCCAGTTATCCAGACTTTTACCCAAACTTTTTTCTTTATCTTATTATTGTTATCATTATTTAAATTTATATGCTGCCTGATTCACTTCATTTTAAGAGTAAAATAAACTAATTTCACATTCTTTAAAAATCCCTCCCACTGAAATATGAGAACAGAGTATTTGAGCACTGTATTTTTTATTATGCATGTTACAAATTCATTCAATATCTTATTTCAGTTTATGGAATAGTTAATATACATACAGAGAACCAAATCATGAAACAAAATTTATCAGAAAGCATGAAAACTTTTATATCCAGAATTGGTAAGTATTCCAAGAATGTAAAAGAAGAAAATAATACAGGAATTAGTAAGTTCTGGTATCATATACAGGTAGTCCTTGACTTACATCATTTAGTGTTACAATGGCATTGAAAAAAGTGACTTATGAATGTTTTTCACACTTACAACTACTGCAGAATCCCAATGGTTATGTGAGCAAAATTTAGATGCTTGGCCAACTGACTCATATTTAGGATGCTTACTGTGTCCCAGGGTCATATGATCACTTTTTGTGACCTTCTGAGAAGCAAAGTCAATGGGGAAACCATATTCACTTAACAACCATGTTATTAATTTAATAACTATACTGATTTTGCTTAACAACTGTGGCAAGAAAGGTTGTAAAATGGGGCAAAACTCACTTACCAAATGTCTAACTTTGTAATAGAAATTTTGGGCTCCATATTGGTCATAAGTAAAGGACTACCTGTACCAATTTATAACTTAAATTTCAATATTCATAGTGTTATCTATTTTACAGTACAATTAAAGCACAAAAAGATTTCTCAGACTTACATACGGTTCCAAACTATCCAATCTCATTCCATGAATATATTTAATATAATATTTTTTATAATAGGCAGTGACTATTGACTAGTTTAACATAAAAGACACTTAAGCTTTCTTGCCATCAAACACAAATCTTTTGCAGTACATTTTATACTAATTTTAAAGGGTTGTGATGAGGGATGGGAATGCAGTACAAAAATAGGATAGGTTATTTGTGGAAACTGACCATTTGCTGATGCTAAAATCATAGCCTGAAGCATTTCAGTATCAAACTGATTGTTTGGCCAAGTTCCATTTTCATCTCCATTCTGAGATCTAAGAAGAAACAAAGCAAATCAAATATAAGAAAAGTACAATAGAAGCAAAATGGGGAAAAAAAACATTTTTATTTATTGATATTATGTATATACTGTCTTGATTTCTTCACATAATTTGTATCAAAGCTTATTCTTAATATATATACAAAGACATCCCCCCCCAATAAGTAGACTAACTTCTCTGATATTAATATTACTTAGATAAACAAATTCATCAATACATATTAGTTCCTGGAAAAGTATGCATTTTCTACATTATGAACTTTATGAAATGAGCAGTTCTATTATGTCTGTTCAGATTCAAAGTTCCAATCTGATTTCCTTTTATGTAGTTTCATCATACTTTAAGTGGCTGTATCCTGGCAGCCATGCCAGATTGTTTTTTAAAACCACTGGTGCACAATTGCATAAAGAAATGCAATAGGGTGAGTGGGAGAACAGCTTTAGAAAGTGACAGGCCCATCCATAAGTCAAACCTTTGCAATGAGACCCCTTCTGACTGAAGAGATGGTGGCCTATATTACCCTTTTATACCTGCAATTGTCAAGCTAGTTATTCCCCATCTTGTACTTGTATTTCTGCATTTCATTTCTTTTTTCTAACTGAAGAAATTTAAATTTCATTCTATTATTTTCACCTTATTTTTCTAAACTATCAAGATTCCTATAAAATTTGTTCAGTATTCTGGAGCAGTAGCTATCCCACCCATATGCTTCACCTGCACATTTGTAAGAATTCCCTTATCTCTTTACAGAAGGGTTTAATAAACATAAGGATCTTAATATTTGTAGAATGAGTATATATTCAGGGGCAACTCCACTAGGAAGGGATATAAGAAATGCAATGGACCAGCTGTCAAACAGTAAACAGCCAGGTTCAAATAAAATACACACTGAAGTATTTAAAGTTAAAAGGGAAAGGGCAGTTAAAGTGCTAACAGTTCTGTGTCATCAAATATGAAACAAAACCATATGGCCTAGAGATTGGAAAAGACCGGTACATATAACAATGTTATCAAAGCATTACATACGGAACCATTACAGTTTTTACTATAAACTAAGTTCAATGGCTGGTACCGTAGTATAACAAATAAAATAAAATAAATCCATTTGCTTAAGATCTTTCAAAGAAGATGTTTTGACTGCATATATCAGGTAGAATATGGAACACATTAACTAGCAACTGGTGACCTGCTGGATCATTGTTTCAGAGATATTTCCTTACCAAACAGAAGGAACAAAATGACCACAGGTAGGAAAAAAGCAGTGAGAGCGGGAGTAACTTCCAATGATCTATAAACTTCCCCATTGAACTGGCAGTGAGTATTAGAAAGCTTCCTTCCTTCCTTCCTTCCTTCCTTCCTTCCTTCCTTCCTTCCTTCCTTCCTTCCTCCCTCCCTCCCTCCCTCCCTCCCTCCCTCCCTCCTTCTAGTTCCTGCCAGCTTCACCATTTACTTTTCTTGTGGTAAACTTGTAGAGAGAAAGTCAATGGGGAAGTCAGCAGGAAATTGCAAGGCTAAGGCCAGCAGACAGATAAGTGGTTACTGCCAGATGGGGGAAGGAGCAAGACATTGGGTTGGAAATGGTATGTGCGGATGCATGAGAAGTGCCACACAGGACAAGAAGAGTGGCCACATGTGCACAAGGGTCAGGGACAGTGCGTTGGGGGAGGGGCAACAAGAGTTAGGAAGGGTGTAAATGTCTGTGACAGGTCAAGAAATTTGTGGAGGAATGGTGTGTATTAGGTAGGGTGCCTGGGTGTGTAAGAGTATATGAGAGATGCTGTTCAAGTCATGGATGATGCACAGGAGTGGTGGGGGTGCCATAAGGGATATGGGTTGAGGGAGCATGTGGAGGGTGGTATAGATTGGGAAAAGTGCATGGGGATCCCATTCTCCCTGTTTCTCCCTCCTCTTTCTATTCCTTTCTCTCCTTCCCTTCACTGCAGGCAACTGCTGGGTGGAGCAGGGAGCAAGAAATTGCAAATCATTTGGAAGCTGTCAAAGAACATTCAAAATGAGCATCATGAGACCACAGCAGCAGCCCAAGAATACAGAAGCAATCACAATTTCCCCAAATTTCATTTCCTTGTAATTCATGGGTCCTGGATTCTGGACACACTCTGTAAGTTCAGACCATTTAGCAATAGCAATAGCACTTAGACTTATATACCGCTTTACAGTGCTTTACAGCCCTCTCTAAGCGGTTTACAGAGCCAGCATACTGCCCCCAACAATTTGGGTCACTTTACCCACCTTAGAAGGTTTGAAGGCTGAGTCAACCTTGAGCCTGATGAGATTTGAACCGCTAAATTGCAGGCAACTGGCAGTCAGCAGAAGTAGTCTGCAGTACGGCCGTGGCTCATTTAAGATAGTTTCCTTCAGAAATTGTTGCCCTATGATGTACTGCTTTTCCCAATTAAAGGTTATGGGAAGAGTTCAGCTAGATGATGAGATAGATAGATAGATAGATAGATAGACAGACAGACAGACAGACAGACAGACAGACAGACAGACGGGTGGGATTCAGCTGGTTCGGGCAGGTTCGGGCGAACTGGATGCTACTATTACATCTGGTTTGCCAAACTGGTAGTTGCAAGGACTGGCTGGCCCCACCCCGCCCACCCCGCCCTGTCCCACCCAGGAGTCTCCACGTGGCCTGTTTTGGATGCCAGGTAAGTGCAGGGCCTGCACAGAGGCTCTGGGAGGATGAAAAACAGGCCTCCAGGAAGTTCCAGAAGTCAAGAAATGGGCCCCCATTTCCGGCCTCCGGAGCCCAGAGGAGGCTGTTTTTTCCCTCCTGGAGGCTTGAGGAAAGCCTCTGGAGCCTGGGGAAGGCAAAAAACTGGGCTCCTGGAAGTTCTGGAAATCAGAAAGGGGCCTTTTTCCGGGCTCCGGAGGGCCTCTGGAGCCCAGGGGAGGCCGTTTTCACCCTCCCAGAGGCTCAAGGAAAGCCTCCGGAGCCTGGGGAGGGTGAAAACACCCCACTGTGCTGCAGGAGGCTGAGTAGGCCACATCCACCATGGCCACGCCCACCCAGCAACCGGGCAGAGAACCAGTTGCTAAAAATTTTGAATCCCACCCCTAGATAGATAGATAGATAGATAGATACTTTTTTTTCTGAAGAAATTTTATAATGAATAAGAAGTTATTATAAGAACTACAACAGGGGACTTCTGGCGTGACATCATAGGCGAGTGGAACGATAGGGAAAGTTTTCCTGAGATGCGAAACTTTTGTTTCTCTTTGCCAAGCAGTTAAAGGAGCCGTTGTTGATCATGGAGCGATCGGCAAAGAAGGATGAAGGTCCGGGCTTGCCGGGAGTAGTGCGAACTCCCGAGGAAGTGAAGGACGATCCTGATCTCTGGTGAGAGAAAAGGACCCTGCAGAGAGGGCAGAGGCCCCATTGCCATGACAGAGTGCTTTGGGGGGAATGGAGCAGAAGCAGCACTGGCGGTGAAATAAATAGATTGGATTGCGAGAAAGGAACGGATTGTCCCCTCAGGATTAACGCTGAAGATTCGGGGGGCGCAAGGCTGATTTTTGGCTGGAAGCGGCAGATTGGTTTCATGAGTAACTTAGAGGCAATATTGGAGGATCGGAGAGATCAGGTACTGAGTGGCCTGTCGGGTCAGATGGGCGCTGTTTCCTCTCAATTTTTGGGTGTAGTTGGAACTTTCATAGACTCTACCCCCTACTTTATTACTGCTGCGCTTTTTAAAAGTGATTTGAAAATTAGCTGGTAAGTGCTGGAAGAGCTACTCCTATCAACCTTTCCCCTGACTTGGATGTGGACTCGGTGGTGACTAAGACATTTTAACGTGATTGCTATGGAGAATCATACTTGATACCTGCACGACAGGAGAACTGGAATAATATAGCCGAATTGTGCTTCCTCTTTCGAACCCCCTTGTTACGAGTAGCTTTGCTATCTCTATTAATTCTTAGATCATCTTATTAATGGACTGATTGAAATTATAAGTAATTTGTTGGGGTATTTATTTATTTTATTTATTTATTTACCAAAAATTTATATGCCGCCCTTCTCCCTAAGGACTCAGGGCGGCGAACACAAGTTAAAAACATACAATAATAAAAGATCAAAATGATTAAAACCCAGTTAAAACAATGACAATCAAAATAAGAAAAACCCATTTGTCAAGGTCAACCCATTTGTTGAAACAACCAGGTCTTTAAGTCCCGACGGAAGGAGAGGAGATCAGGTGCCATCCGAAGCTCAGTGGGTAACTCATTCCAAAGGACAGGGGCACCCACGGAGAACACTCTACCCCTGGACGTCGCTAGCAGTCATTGTCTGGCCGACGGTACCCTGAGAAGGGTAGCCCTGTGAGATCGAACAGGACAGTGGGAGGCGGGTATATTTGTTTTGGAAAATTAGGAGTTAAATTTATTGGTGAGAATTAATATAAAGTGGACTAATTGATTTGATTAGAGTATTGATTAAGTCTAGAGCAATAATTAGATAATTAAATGGTTTAATATTAAGTAGATTAATTGATTAGCAAATTAAACTGAGTAATTACTATTAATCATTTGAGAGTATTGAAGGGGGGGGATAGGAAGTAAGGTAGATAATTGACTAAATAGCAAAGTAACTCGCTAACAGACTAGAATACTGATTAATTATTGGGATAGGGTAGATCAATAACTAGTACCTTTGGGTTCATCTTAGTTTTATGTTACTTTGGAGGAGGTTCCTCTGTTTAACAGAAATGTCTAGCTCCTCAACTAAGACCGGAAAGAAGCTCCCGATATCAACAGCATCTATGGCTCCAATTACAACTCCTCCTACTCCGCATAAATCTCTAGAAGCGGTAGCTGTGGCCGAGAAGACTTCTATGCTCCAAGGAATTCAGAATTTATTATATGCTATACAGGAAACTATGACAAAAAACCAGGAGGCCACAGCGAAGGATCTGGCTGAATTGAAACAGGAGATGGGAGGCATGTGAGGGGAAGTGAAACAAATCTCTGAGAGA